GAGATCCGGTCTCTTCGGATGTTGCTATTGACAAATTTTATATTTGTACCATATTATACATCGTTTCACTTTCCGCACAGAAGTAGCCGAGGGTTCGCGCTGATGGGACCCATCAAACAACACCAAAAGCGCACCATCGTGATGTTCGGCGTGGTTCTGTTCGTGTTCTATCGTCGCTGAACCAATCTTGAACAGGAAAGGCCCATTGAGTTGTGCTTTTAGCGATCCCGTTAACTCGTAGCGTCGACTGCGTTGGCACTGAACATGAAAGAAGAATAGTACATAACTAATACAAATACATATTAAAGCAGCCACTAAACAAGCAAAGGGTCCCGATGAAAAAAACATTTTGTTCTGCCGTGGGTTTGCACAAAATATGGTGAAAGGGTTCGGTTTTTATCTTCCATATTAATATAAAATGTTACGATATCTATTTTTCTTTATTTGCAGTTACTTAGGATTGTAAAGAGAGAGTTGAGAAAGTGGTGCATTAACTTCGCTGGTCATCCAACTTTGCAACCTCCAGTCGTTGTTTTTAAGCAGGTGTGTTGTTTTGTGTGTTTGAATTTTATTTTCAAAGTTTCAAATTTTCAAAGTTTGTATTTTGTTGGGTTTTGTAATATATAAGAAAGGTGCTTTGTGTTTCTACGCCAAAAGCAGGCCGGTATTTTGTATTGTTTTGTGTAAGAGTATTATCATCCCCTCTATTGTAACACTCTCCTGCCCACAAGCACGCACGTGCTTTTGCGGACGTCGACATTTCATTTACTAGTTCATTATGCAATCAACTTATGTACTTATATAGACGCCGCGATGGAAAATTATAAGCGCCGCGGCGTTCTAGACTTTTGCGAGCCCTATTTCCTTATCGTAAAATTTAAAGCATTAATTATGTTTCCTATGTTTCGACAACGATATCCACTGATCAAATCCAGCACCACAATTAAGTTATAGCGCACAAAATCCTATTATTAATTATGAATTAATTAATTACTTAAGTAGGCTGAACGCCTTCGGGGAATTGCGTATGACTGTTTCGCGTCTGAAAAACGCAACTAAGGTTTTATTCATTCGACCTACGTTTGCGAAACTTACTTATAATATGAGGGGCATGAATCGATATCCTTGTCACATCGTCCTTGTCAGTATGGACGATCCCAAAAATATGTCCGAACTTCAAAGCCAGCGTGCCAGTAGGCCCAGTGGAAATTGAAAGAGACCCTACTAGCAAGCGGAATCCAACCAGCAGCAGATGTGACCAAAAACACACGCGCACACAACCACGTCACAACACAAAGAACATAAAAAAGAGCGTACAAACAGTGCACACACATAAAAGCAGTCGGAATAAAGCGCGACTGAAAGCAGAAGACACGTTCAGGGGCTCCGCCCCAAACGAAAATAAAAAAAATGATCGTTAATAAAAAAACAAATTTGCAGACGGCATAAATGCCTCGGTGTTTAAAGAATCGAAATCAAGAGTACGTGCGTTACATGGCAAACGACTGATGTCTGTAAGTAACGAAGTGACTGAGAAAGAGTCGAAAACACTCAAAACATACCAATATTGAAAATAAAGAACCCAATTTCTCTAACATAGAGTCCACGAAAAAAGTGAAAAAAAAAACCAAAAGAAAGGCTGACGGAAGAAAAGGCGCCGCGGTACAGCGGCGTCTGAACCAAACGGAGGAACATTAAATTTAGAAAAGACACAACTGCGAGACAGCCGTCCGAGTGCTGGCATTTATCGTGCGTAAAGAAAGTTAGCCACCGACTGAATGTGTGCGTTGTATTATTGAAATCAAGTTTAATTTTTATTTGCGCTATAACACTTTTATCTGATCTGGGAGAAGTGGCAGGCATTCTTTCAAATTCTATTTTTGTCGATTAAGTGTACCTGTACATTCATTGCGGTAATGATCTTGGATCTTATATGGACAATCGTTTATTCAGCCAATTTACATCATTGTAGTGCTTATATTGTGATAGGTCTTCTGCTGCCTTTTTGTTTATAGATGGCAATGGTATTAATGCAAAGGTACAAGCGGGCTAGACAAAGGAAAACAAAGAAAACAAGAGAAACAAAGTACAAGGATGTCGGCAAGCTTATTCAGATTGTATTTTCGACAAGACAGGTATGAGGAATACATTAATAAAAACGGTACTGTCATCAGCAAAGGTAAAACACATTGATTGATCAGAGCACTGAAATTGAGCGGCAGCTATCTTTAAATTTAAATGCACAAGTATCAAAACAAAAAGCGCCAAGATAGATTTGTGTTTTGCTTGCCTTACATAGACGCACATCAGAATGTTTTCTTGGCTAAAAGACAGGGCTGAGCCTTAAAAGCCAAGAAAACAAATTCACGCAAAGAACGCATCATTTCCTCATAAAAATGTTATATAGCTTTTTTTTAATTAAAATGATTATAACACGTTTACCAATCTCTATAACGCGAAATTAGAGCGCAGCTCCTGAGGAGGAGGAGGGGAGGGTATGTCCTCCTCCCCATCCAGCCTTCCTCCTCTCCTCCTCCTGCCCTCCACCTACCCATCCTGTCCTCCTCCTCTCCTCCCCTCCCCTCCTGCTCATCCTCCTCCTTTCCTGTTCTTCTCGGTCAATCCCCTCCTCCTTCTCCGTACCCTCCCCTCCTCCTCCCCCATTTCCGGGGAGGCTCTCCTCTTCCCTGGAAATAGGAGAGGAGGAGAGCTTGCGTACACTCAAAATGGGAGAGGGGACGCGGGCCTGTACCTTCCACTGCATTGCCAAGAAAAGTTGTCGCGGAGTATAAAAGCCTTGCTTTTTGTACCGCAGTTTCGGGGACTCTTAAATGAATCAATGTCCACCAGCTCTCCTGCACCCGAGACTGTTATCAAGCGAGGACCACACAACATAATCAAGATGATTAGTAGCCGAAAAGGTAACGAGATCCTGCACTTCGCAAAGATATTGTTTTTGTACTGTCAAAATTTCCCTGTTCGAAACAAAATAAAAATTACCCCATTGGACAAAAAAAGGAACGCCGTTACTCTTTCCGTTCCAGTAAAAATGTAACGCGTTCCCGTTCCAGTTCCAGCGATGCAAAATGAAACGGCGGCGTTCCTTCGTTCCTCCTAAAAGGAACGCGATCAAGGAGAAAGGCTTTACTTATGGTTGTTTGTTTTTTGACGTGTCATTTTTGGCCTTATATTGCTAAATCTTATATTTAGCCCTTGAACGACTAACAAAGCAAGGAGGGGGAGCTTAGCTGCATTTTACAAATTTCACTCATATCGCTTTTTGTTGAGTCGTGCAGCCTTTTCTCGTTCCATGTGTGGCTGTGGGCATCGCGACAGCTGTTTCGAGATAATCACAGGGGTGGAGCGACATATGTGACCGCTCTTCGCAGGAGAAAACCGCTTGGACGAAAATTTGCCACGTGACTCACTCTGACGCGCTGATGGGCTCACTGGATCTGCGGCAGAGATTTTTTTATCGTAAATGGAACACGTTTATGCCAACATATTTGAACTTCAGGAGTTAGCTAACTTCACGATCGTAACTGAACCTTTTTCAGAAATATCGCGTCAAAAGTAAATTGATTTGGTACCCTTTCGTTCTTCCTTCTGGCCGAGCTAAGAGGGAAGATGGTGCCTTTTTATCAACTTCGGGGCCGAATCTAACCCCCGATGGGGACAAGGGAGAAGTTTTACGGAGTGGTATCTAGGTCAAAGCGGCCCAATGGACGAGCAGGGTGTAGCTGATATTTTGGGTGTCATACGGCCTCGGAACAGTCGCGTGTCTAGGTGGCAGCAGATATATGAAAAAAGGTAGAATGCCGCTCTCGAAATGAGGTTCTTGGTGTAAAATATTTTTCACTTTACAACTTCGTTTTCTGAAGTAGAAATAACCTGCTCCAAGCCAGAAGAATCCAAGAAACTATGAACGTTTTTGGGTAATATGCATTTTCTTTCTTCGAGTGCAGGAAATTATTGCGGTATGTATGGCAGACGCTCTTCGACAAACAACTGTTCGTCGTCGACAGCGAAACTTCCGTTTTATATGGCGACTTTTCTTCGTTCACTACTTTGTGTCTGCGCTATTCTGTGCTGCCCGAGTTGTTTTATGTATCTATCACGGATTACTTAATATCGGTGTTTTATTTGGAAGTACATTGCAAATATGTTATAATAGACGCCGTGCTTCCCTCTCAATCTCCATGGCCCTTTCTGTTTGATTTTTGCGTTTTGCTTGGCATGGGGAAAACTGTGTAATTCTATTTAATAATTTCCTTTCCGTTCAACAGAGAAGTATAACATATTGAATTGTGTCCACAATAAGCTGCGTTTATAAACTTCTGGGAGCGATTGAAAACGAATATGTTTGTCTGTGCATGCGATTTACATGCAACAATAGATATGCAACGGTCGGCAGAAAGTACACTTACGCGACGTCCTTCCGATACAGAGCAGACGCATGTGCGACGCCCGGCCGATGGGCGGGCCAATCTGTAGTGTACTCCCAAGATATCCTGCCGATTTCCCGGCGAAAGTCTAATCAATAGAGTACTCGCACGATATTGCGCCGATGCTGGGCCTGTGGCGAAACGACTGTACGCCAATACCACACGGATACCGGGCCGTGGTGCAGAACTGGACATTTCACCGGTAGTTGGACCGATTTTTGGCCGGCACTGCACAACGCAGGCCACTTTATTGAAAAAAATAGTATAAACTGGATTACAGAACGGAAAATCTAGTTATATTTTCTGTCCCATAATCAAGCTTATTCTGGTTGCTTTGGTATGGCAACTATCACCGTGCCGCTTGAGTTGCATCGGTGTATGGACGAAAGGGTGTGAACAAAAACCACTAAAGTATTACAACTAAAGCTGTGCAGTAGGGAACTGTATTCTGAAAATAACTATGCCAACTGTCCTCACACTAAACTAAAGTTACTCTAAATTATCTTTCGCTCCCTTCCGCTTAATTAATTGTTTCTCCCGTGCCGTCTTTCGCAGTGCCGGCTGAATCCTTCGCCTTCAACTACAGCTTCCCCCAGGAAGGCAGCCGCGCCGTGAGCCTCATGTGCACGGGCCGAGGACTGTTCCCACGGCCTGACATGAAACTGTACGTGATTCAGTCAGGCCACCGAAAGCCCGTGGTGGTGCGGACGTTCACCTCCATGTCCTCCCAGAGCCTCTTCGACGTTGTGCTTCACGCTGAGATGGCCGAGAACACGTTGCCGTCCGTGGCGGACATATTAGAGTGCGTGCTCGAGATCCCCTACAGTAACTACGTGCTAACAAGAAGGATGAGTCTGTCGCCCGGTGAGTAAGTTCCAAACACTTTCCCACTTTTACAAGATCGGCGTTTACCTTCCTCTAGATTTGTGACGCCCCGATTTGGTTTTGATCTTTATCTGTGCCTCTTTGTGTTACATGTTGCAAAATGAGATAAATTATTACAAAAGAAGAAACAATAATTTTTATTATTATTTTTTTTTCCAACTGAATATCATCATATAAAAACGGGAGTGCAATTGAATGTGTTCCTCTTGGGCACAAACTACGGTGGTTAAATTATGTGTTCCCGAAGGTCATCTGTAGTCAAAATACAAAAAGGTGGCGATGTCGTTTTCGTAGTAACAATGTCGCGCATGTCGTGTCTCTGGTTGAAGCATATTGCAGCAGAGATCGGAGCGAAATATATGATGTGAGACATTTCAATTACCGGAGTGGCCATAGTGTAAAACGGTAACGCTGAATCAGAGGAACGTGCGTATTAATCTAGTAATTACATGGTGGAACTTGTGCTTGTTTGATACATTAAGGAAATATGTAAAATGTCCAGCAGTAATTAAAGCTCTACAGGTTCGTGCTATACTATGTGCGCAAAACGGGTGAGAACAAACTACAGCCGGAGGTTTGAGATCAAGAATGGAAATCGGTAAAATTATGATTGGCCTTGCGCTTCGCCAAGCAAATGAGCAAGGACTTACCGCAAACATGTTGCGAACAAATGTAATGTTTTGCTGACACAAATGTTTCAAGAAAGTGATAAAAATATGCGTAATAACGCTAAAAGTGGCTACAAAAATCAAAAGACTGATGCAGATATGCATCGAGAGCGCACCATGTTGCAGCGAGAGCAAACATTAGGTGACATGGTGGCACAATAATTTATTATAAAGCGGGACATAGTACTAACGACTTAAGCTGATGATGAGAAAATTATAAAAATATTTTGCGAGGAATGTGCTTCCGATCTACAGGATGTTTCAAATAGCGGCCAGCTTTTATAAATCGACAGAAAAAAATCGGTTTATTAACCTTCCGCGCTACGATTTTGTACATCGTTGTCCACAGGTGGTGCATGTTTTCCAAAAAAGTTTGCAAAAAACAAGCTTACTTGAAAAAAATTTAATAATAAGGCTTAACTCCTATGGAAACGCAGCGAAGCCACCGGCCTTAGCGCAATAGGGCGCCGTTTTGCACGGGAGACAAGAGAGGGAACAACCGGTCGCGACGCCAACTGCCGCCAACGAAGCAACGTCGCGACTGTTTGCGCGCTCTCTTTCTCCTGTGGAAACAACGCCGTATTGTTTGAAGACAGAGGGCTTCGCTACTTTTTCATGGGAGATAAGCATTTTTTAACTTTCACCTCGGGTAAGTTCGCTCTTCGCAAATTTCATTGAAAAATTGGACCACCTGTGGGCAACCTTGCACAAAATATTGGCGCGATAAGCTAAGAAATCAATTTTCGCGGTTGATTTAAAGAGCCTGGCCGTTATTTGAGACAGCATGTAGTTTAAAATCTTCATTATTACAGCTCTCCTGCTTATGAACCGCTAAGTGTTTACAAGATTTTTGCTTAAAAAATTGTTGCAAAACATACTATCATTTACCTGAATTAGGCTCCTGGAATCTCTGAACTTACACAAGAAAAATCTTAAGCCGGAATCACACTGCTAATACATCACACAAAAGACAACCTTCACAGGAATTCGAAAGCGAGTCAAAGCGAGATCCCGGCTGCGAGTGCCACGTGACAATGAGGTCAAGGAGGAAGTTTGGCACTCGGCATTCGAACCATAGATATTCCGGTGACTCGTGCTTGTAGAGGTTTTTTGTATGATGTATGAGCAGTGTGACATCGGAATAAAAGGACGAAAGTTTGCGGACAATTTGTATATCTAGAGGAACTTGGAAAATTTAGTTCGAAGTGTTCGAGAAATTAAATTTCTAAAATGTTACCGCCAGTGGTACTTTCATCTCTTCAAGTGCATAGCATTACAAGTGAAGTACAAGGTACCATAAACCGCAAAAGAGTGGATAAACAAACATGCTTTTCACAAAACCATTCCGTACATTACGTTGCGACAACTCGAATATTGTAGTCTGGACCTAGGAGCTAGGTAGAGGTGAGTTCCGGCACGAGCAGCATAAAGGAATAACATTCAAAAGAAGAGCGGAAGAGAAGTAATTTCAGCAATATAAATACGTGTTTCAATCAAACTGACCGACGAATATACCGCACAAATATAGTAGAATATTGAGTTATTTTTATAATCGCCGCATTATGTGCAACTGTAAACTTTATGGTGTTTTGTTCAAGCGCTTATAAAATAAGCGCTTATGAATATTATGAATTTTGGATCCAAGCCGTTACGTGCATAAACAGCGCAAAGCTAAAAGTGCCGTATAAACCCTGCCTCGAGCGCGAACTTTCTATCTGAGAAAAATGTTACGTGTGAACAAACGTGCTTATTCAGACGTGCGGGCCAGCTAGGCCACAAACGAATGATGGGGCAGCGCCCCGCGTTGCTTGATATAGTGGTGGCAGTCGGCATGCCCTCTGACGGTTACCCAGGTTTCATGTGCTAGCTGGCGCTGTACCATCAGTCGGAGTCTTGAGAAGTTGACCCATGAGCAGCTCTGCCGGGGAACGTAACATGAGACCATAAGGTGTAGTTCGGTATGCCAACATCACCCTTGAAATCGACGTTCAAAATCTCTAGGCTGCGTCTTTTTTAGCTTTTTTTTAACTTTATGGACTACTCTCTCGGCTGCGCTTTGGATGCTGTATGACATGCACGCACCAGGATCTGCCGCACTTCATTACGGGCATGAACACTTTGCACTGCGAACTTGTAAATGCAGGATCATTGTTGCTCGCAACTACATCTGGCAAACTATGGATTGCATAGATGATACATGGGAATGCAACCGTTGCCCCCGCTAAACATGACTACTAACGGACCAACTAAAATAAGCGTCCACCATTACAAAACGGTAGATACCTTGGAATGTGACTCCAAAGTCCACATGGAGACGCGTCCACATGAAGACGCCACCGTTTGAAAGAGACACGTCTTCCCTTGCACTGTCCTTTAAACCTTAGAGTGTACATGCCAGATTGTGCATGTGCCCCACACTGGTCGGAATGTCTTCATCGATGCCGGCCACCAAATATGATTTTGGCCAACCACCTTCATTTTCTGGACACCTGGATGGCTGTTGTGCAGCAGGTCCAAGACAGACGCACTCAGCGAAGCCGCCACAACCAGGCGGTTGCATTGCAGGCAGCGCAGCCCTCTGTCACAGAAAACTCCTCCACGCGGTTTGCATAGGCCCCCATCCAGCGGCAGATGGTGGATGACCTCCAAACCACATTGCGCCACGGAACGTTGCCAATAGCAGGTCTCGGGGAGTTGCAGACTCGACTACCGCAAGCAACAAAACACTTCTGTTGACCCTCCACCATGAATACATCTTGGGCTCTTGGCTCTTCCAAAGGTGTGACATGAAGAGGCAGTCGGCTTAGTGCATCAGAGTTGTATAAGCTAGCTCCTGGTCTGTAGCAAAAATTGTTGTTATTGCCACTCAGTGTCATCGCCCATCGTAGCACTCGAAGCGAAATCTATCCGGATGCAAATGTCGTGCCTAATCAGACCAGCAAAGCCTTGTGCCCAGAACACACTTCAACTGGCCTTTTTCATACAAACTGGTGAACTACATTATTATACGCACAATCACTGCCAGAGCCTCCTTAGCCAGTTGGCCCTAGTTTGTGTTTTTCGGCTGCTGTTAAATGACGTGATGCAAACGCCTCGGGTAGCACTGCTCTTGAATCCACTATATGCGCCAGGTTTTCTCCAGTGTCATATGGCGGTGCCTTACAGAGCGGCAGCAACGGCAACTTGAAACCATAAAAATAATAACATCAGCTGATACCAGCATGTTTTACTTGTGTCAAACGCTGCCCTTCGCTCTTACCCCCACTACCACGATGCTCTCTTCTTAAGTAACGGGTGCAAGGAATGCAGCACAGACGACAGATTATCGTAAGTATTCAACGCTTATGACACTAAATAAATGCACTTCTGCAGCTTGAGCTTCAATCCTGCACAGATCAGTCGCCGCAGCACCTTGTCTAAATTAAAACGATGGACCTCCTCTGTTACACGCGTCGCCGAAATAAAATCAAAGTAGGCAGCAAATATGTGGTAAGCCTGCAGCAGGTTTTGTATTTTATGTTGAAAGATCACTGGTACCGACGCCACCTCTGAAAGTTAGTCGGTTGTACTGGAACGGCCTTCGTGTAGATCGTCAAGTACCTCTTTAAAACTTCGTTGAGCTCCACCTGCTGGTAGGCGTATCGCAAATCAAACTTCGATATCGTGACACCTCCTGCCAGCTTGGCCCAGATTTCCTCTACATGCGGCAAAGGCTATGTCTTGATGTGCGCAGCCCTATTCACCGTGAAATTTTAACCCCCACACAATCGCAATTTTTTATCTCTTCTCAACACCGGAGCCCAAGGCGCTGCCCATTTCGATGGACGCACCAGACCACAGCTGCTCTCACTCTGAAAACACTGAATTTCCTAATCCAGCAGAGTCTTCAGCGGAAACGTTACCGCTCTCGGCCTTAAGAACTTTGGCCGTGTCTTCTCCGGCGCCCTTATCTTTGTCTTGACACCTCACAACATACCCAGTCCTCTCGAAGACAAATAAAAAATCCTCCCAACCAAGTCCTCCACACTGTCGACTCGGTGAACGTTCAACAAGTTCTCGAGCGATATTTAGAAGCAGGCCATCCAAATTCCTGATGTGAAGGGCCCGAGAACCGCCTCTGGAAAAACAGGTGTAGCTGGCCCTGCCTTCCTTTGAGCTCGCAACCGCTATCGTATTAGCGTCAACCGCCGCGGGGTGACCCAAGTACCCTCTCCACTTCACTTCGGCATGTTTGAGCGCAGTCCGTAGAAAGCGCCGTTTAAACTCCGCCACGCCCATCACCGATTGACTGGCCCCAGTGTCAACTTCCAT